GTTCTCTCCCTTTCCCCCTGCGGCGGCAGGTGGAAGTGAAGTGGATTGGGGAGGGGGGGGCTTTGTGGGGCCCGGGGTGGAGTGCGGCGCTGGGGAGTGCGGTGGCTCTCCCGCCAAGGGTTCGGATCCCATATAGAGACCGGTCCGCTCACTGGTTGAGCGCGGTGCGGGCATGACACTGAGGGTTGCGATCCCGTTGCCGGTCGTGGTACGGGCGCGACACCGAGGGTTGCGATCCCGTTACTGGTCACGAAAAAAAAAAAAAAGTCATTGATTAGGAGTGAGAGATGGAGGGTTGCATTATGTCCCTGAGGGGATTGGACACTGTTCTGGGCTCCCTGGGGTTGGCCTGTGTCTGACACTCCTCCCCACTCTTTGTTTACACAGGAAAGATCCACACCCCAATGGAGTATAAGGGGGAACTCGCTTCCTACGATATGCGGCTGAGGTAGGTGCGGGGTGAGGGATAGAGCGGTACTGGGGCACCAGGTGTAGAGCTGATGGCTCTGCCCACCCTCAGGCGTAAGCTGGACTTATTTGCGAACGTAGTCCATGTGAAGTCACTTCCTGGGTACATGACTCGGCACAACAATCTGGACCTGGTGATTATTCGCGAGCAGACTGAAGGGGAGTACAGCTCTCTGGAACATGAGGTGAGGCCACAGAAGCTGGGGAGGGCAGGGATGGAGGTAGGAGAGAGGCGGAGCTGCTCCTTCCCAGTGTCATCCATCTTCTCTCTTCTTACGCAGAGTGTGAGGGGTGTGATTGAGTGCTTGAAGATTGTCACTCGAGCCAAGTCTCAGCGGATTGCAAAGTTCGCCTTTGACTACGCCACCAAGAAGGGGCGGAATAAGGTCACTGCTGTCCACAAGGCCAACATCATGTGAGGGACATGGCTTTGTGCAGGATGGGTTTCTGGGAAGGGAGCCTCCTGTTCTCTCTTGGCTGATTCTGTTTTCTTTGGCCCATGGACAGGAAACTTGGGGATGGATTGTTCCTGCAGTGCTGTGAGGAGGTTGCTGAGCTATACCCCAAAATCAAGTTTGAGACAATGATCATAGACAACTGCTGCATGCAGGTGAGGCCCTCCTCATGCCTCCACCCTCATGGTGCTGAGGGAGGGTGGGGAGTGGGATTCAGTTCTCTTCTTCATGCCCGCATCTCACCCCATAGCTGGTGCAGAATCCTTACCAGTTTGATGTACTTGTGATGCCCAATCTCTATGGGAATATTATTGATAATCTGGCTGCTGGCCTGGTTGGGGGAGCTGGTGTGGTCCCCGGTGAGAGCTACAGTGCAGAGTACGCAGTCTTTGAGATGGTGAGTGAGGTCACTTCCTCCCTCAGCCCTGTCTATGTGCCTTTCATCTGACCTCACTCAGGTCCACCTGTTCTCCCTTGCCATCCCAATGTCCCTGCCTCCTAAGTGACCCCAGCCTGCCATCCTTCTCCCACAATGTCCTTTCCTGACCTCAGCCTCTGCATATTTCCTGCAGTGACTGGCCTGCCCCTCTCTCCACAGGGTGCCCGGCACCCATTTGCCCAGGCAGTTGGCAGGAATATAGCCAACCCCACGGCCATGCTGCTGTCAGCTTCCAACATGCTCCGGCATCTCAAGTAGGTTGTGGGAGGCTGGGGGTGGAGGCTGGGTGTTGTAAGGGGGAGCCAGGTGGGGAGACCAGGGGAAGGTGTTTGGGGAATCTCAGTTTCTTTCTGTCCACATTGACAGTCTTGAGTATCACTCCAACATGATTGCAGATGCAGTCAAGAAGGTGATCAAAGTTGGCAAGGTGAGTTTAGAAAGGCTATGGGGCTCAGGGCCTCGGCACTACTCTCTGGGGAACCTGAATGGGGCCTCCTTTCCCCTCAGGTCCCTAGAACATCTGCTGTCTGATCTTGCTCCGTCCCTCTCAAGGCTGCTCTTTGGGTCCCTTCTCTTGGCTGTTTCATCCTCTTGATCTCCTTTGCCTCCTTTAGTTCCCATCTGCTATTCCGTCTTTCCTGCTCCTTCTACTGCCCTTTTCATGGGCGTCTGAATTCAGAACGTGCAGCTCTCTGGGGTAGAGCAGCAGAGGGAGATAGGCAGGATGCTTCACCTTCACACCTCGGGGGCCCATCCTCATCTCCCTTTCCCTGCTGTCTTCTGTCCAAGGCAACCTGTCGTCTCCGGTCTGCATTTTCCCATCTCACTTCATGCTCAGCCTCCCATTCTGCGCTGGCAGCAGTGCAGCTTTAATAGTGGTTCAGGAGAGAGGGATGGGCAGGTTCATGGCTCCCAAACCTGGCCACCTCCTTCTTCCTGTCACTGCTGCATTGCATCTTCTGTTACCCCTTGGATTCCGTTTCTTTGATCCCACTGCCCTACCCTGCTTCATGGGCTCTCTTCTCTTCCTCCCCACGGCTATTGCCGGTGGTGGCTGTAGGTGCGGACTCGAGACATGGGCGGCTACAGCACCACAACCGACTTCATCAAGTCTGTCATCGGCCACCTGCACCCCCATGGGGGCTAAAGCCCTTTATTCCTTCCAACCTCACAAGGACCATACTCCCTATACATCCCTTCAGTACAGTGGACCAGGGAAGACAACATGAACCTCTAGACAGTGGACCATAACCTCCTTTCTGGGCAGGGCCTAGGTTGTCCTGGGGCTGGCTTCCTGAGGGAACTGTTGGGTGGTGGTGTTGTTAGGGATGGGGCCCTGGCCCCACGGATGATGATAGTTCTCCCCCACAGGTTCGAACCTCTGACATGGGTGGCTATGCCACTTGCCACGACTTCACTGAGGCTGTCATGGCTGCCCTGTCCCACCCATAGGTCCTGCCCACACCCAAGTACGGTGTTCAATAAAACATGTGGATCAACTTTTGTCAATTTGTTTTTATTGGAGTACAGAACATGGGCTGGGAAATGTTAACTGGAGGTATGTCTCCCCCCAGGCAATGTCCATTCTAATCTTCCTGGGATGGTTTTTGAAGTTTTTTCTTTTTCTTGGAGCCGCTCTTGCTGCCAGCAGCCTCTTCAGGTCCACTGCTGATGGGGTCCTCCTTGGAAGAGAATTTCCTCTTTTTCTTGGGGACACTCCTGTTGCCTGCCTCTTCGGGATCACTGACTGTTTCCTCCTTGGGTGAGGGTTTCTTTCTCTTGGGAACATTTGTGCTGCCAGCTCTCTCTTCAAGGTCACTACTAACCAGCTCCTCCTTGGAAAAAGGTTTCTTTTTCTTGGGTTTGGAGAAAGAGATAGGTGTGTCCTCCATTCCATTCTCCTGAGGAGCCTCCTGGGGCTTTTGCTTTTTCTTCTTTTTGGGATTTTCACACGTCTCCTAAAGGGGAAAGTGGTCATGAAAACTGTTAGCTATGGTATGCACACGCATGCGTACACACCCCCATTAAAAATTTCAGCAGTTAAGTAGTCAAAGCAGAAAGACTGGTGAAGTTGTTAAAATTGCCTAATGTTCTGGGATGTTTTTATAATTATGTAGGCTTAACTTTGGAAATCCACCCCAAACTACTCCCAATTAGAAGTTGGGGAGAACAGATAATGAGATTATCTCTGCCCATTAAATAAACTATAGGAAAATGCACCACGTTGGTCACAACAGCCATCATGCCAAATTGCAGAAGGGACCCTGACACACTGTTTAACAAACTGGATACTTAATGAAAATTCCAGGGAGAATGAGTTTAGCCTAGTACATTGGAGACATTCCTGTCCCATCCCCACTGTGAAACACCACCTCCGGACATACATCTGAGAACAAACAGAGCAGGAATTTACTCTACTCCCAGTTGCAGACTCCTGGGAGGCAGCCGAGGACAGAACACACTTGCCCAGGGAATGGCTGTGTGCTACAACCAGCTCTCTGGGCTCCTGAGCAAGTTCTCTCAGCAGCTATATCCTTCCTATAGAATCAAGAGGTAGTTTTAGATGTTTCAGTCCCAAAGCCTGGACCCAGGACCGTGGTTTTGACACAATGTCCTTTGTTCTGCTGTTGGAAAACCCTGCAGCCTAGGACCTTCACTGAGCGCTGCCCTGGCCACAGACCTCACACTCCTCTGGAGTACTGCTGCTGTTTTCCGAAGACATGAGGGCAAGTGCAGCCAGCCGTTTCTTTTCTTTCTTTAAGCGTTTCTTCTCCTGTTTCTCCAGCTTCCTGGTGATCTCTGCAGCTGCTTCCTCTGCCTGGTCAAAGAGAAGTGCTGAAAAGGCTTTAAGACTTCTGGCCCTCCAAAGCCTGCTTCCTGGCTTTACTGGATCAGGCTCATTAAATCAGTTTTTTTGCCTCCACTCTACAAGGTCAGGCTAAGACAGTTCATCACCTCCAACAGCCAGCTCTGGTTCATTCTCCCCCACCCAGCAAAGCCCAAACTGACCTGAACCATTGCTTCCTTCATGACATCCAGATTCTTCCGGGGAATCTCTCCAGTCTCATAGAAGGACAGCCGCTCTTCAACTTGCTCTCGGAGCTTCTCCCCAAATACACTTGTGGGCACCTCTGGATGTGTGCAGGTAAACGAAGCCTATCAGCCCCCAAAGGCACAAACTATCCCCCACCCCGGTATTCCCTCTACCCTCAGCTTCACTCAGACCCAAAGTATCAACACTCACTAGGTGAACTGCTGTTGACGAAAAATATTGCCATCATTGTTGAAGCTAAGGTAACTGGACTCCCCTTCTGCCCAGCTCCTCTTCCCCACAACTGCCAACCCTGCACCCATACCAGAAAAGCAATCGATTCGTGAGGCAATGCTGCATTTGTTTGCCAGGTATCGTGAGATGCGGCCTTTGTTCTTGGCAGCTGCTCGGCCAATGAAGGTGGAGTGGAATATGAGTCCATATTTTGGTGTGTTACCCCTTGTCTTCAGGGCTCTGGGAGAATATTCAGTGGAGAGTTAATATCACTCCTCCCTTCCCATCCCTGCTTTCCCACGTTTCCAGGTGAGCCTCAGGCCTGACTGGATCTCTACTCCAATGCATGCCAACCCACAGCTCCCAGAGACAGAAGGAAGGCATCTGATGCCGCTGACCTGGAAGCTTGCTCCCTTTGCTGGACCCTGGGAATCACTCAGACACCAGGACTGGCCATCACCCCCATAGCAGAGGCCTGCATAGGTCAGGGAGCCCTGGTCAGCCATCACTGTGATCCCCAAACAAGGAGTGGGCACCAGAAGTGGCACCTGAGTGCCCTCACTGGTACCTGAACAGGGCCTTTTCGGCCCCAAGGATCTGCACTGTGGATGCTGGATACTTGGCCAGGTTGGTGAGGCTGCCAGCATGAGCAATGAGACGAGCACCTACCTGGGGAAAGATTCAATGATTAAGTAAGAGAAGCTGGAGGTGCCAGCCTACCAGCTGCAAAATCCTGCTCTCCTCCCCACCAAACTGGGGAGGATATGGTGGGCCAGGAAGTGCAGCAGTGCAGACATACATGGTTACGTTCCTTATTCACCCCATTTTGTGTGTTCCCCATGACGCACCGCTTCCCCAATCAGGGCTGACAGGCTGGGGGCTACTTGGCTCATCTTGGAGCGCAGGTAAGTGTGTAGGCTCTGGCGGTACTCTGACAAAGACACCACACGACTGGAAAAGCTCTCGATGTTTATCAAGTCGATGGCAGATATGTCCATGCCTAGGGAACACCAAGTGTGAATGCAGGAGCCAGAGATTCAGAGCACCACATCTTATGCCAGCAACCAAGCTCCGCACTGACCCATGGAGGACCGTGAGGCATCCAGGATAGCCTTAGCCTTGGCCCCATCCATTGTCAGCTCCTCCAGCTTCTCCAACTTTTCCTCATTCAGCTCCCTTCGGTTTCCAATGAACTGGGCGAGGCGGCAGTAGGTGGCATTGTCGTTGATAATCTTCACCAGCTCCGGGAAGTGATACCCATACCACTCCCTGCAAAGAGCCACAACCACTCACTCCCTGGCCCAGCTGCCATGTCTCAACAAAGCTTTGTCCTCAGCCCTCTCCACACCTACTCTTTAAAGCCTGAAGAAATGAGAACAAGTCAGATTCAAATCCCCCTCAACACTATGTCCCCCCATTCACAATTCAGACCAAGCACAGGGCCTGGGCTGAGGTGTACATGGGGTTAAGTTTACTCTGCCTCCTCTTTCTATACAGTCAGTGTAATAACACAGCCTGTGGTAAGCACCAGGAGGTGAGGTGAGCTCCAGGTCCAGCCCCACCCCCATGGCTCTACCCACAAGAATTTTAAGTCCTGATCTCAGGATTCAAAATTAGCTTAACTACAGAATGAAGACTCCATTGTCGGGGTGCCCCTGCATCTTACCTGACACGCATAGAGAAAGTATTGATGTCTTTATCCAGCTGGTCCAGGAGGCTAATGGACTGGATGATCATATTGTCCACCCGGTTCACATTAAACTTAACTTTGGCACGAGAATAGCTGTGTCCCAGCCCCAGTTGGGCTTTACAAGCTGACACATCGGTCAGACCTTTCACCAGGTTATGGAAGTGCAGACGAACTCCTAAAAGGAAGGCAATACTGTGAGCAAGAAAGGGCTCTGAGCTAGCTCCCACACCCACAGGCACCAGACAGCCAAATCTTCCCAGAAGCAGCCTCAAGCATTCTAGTAAGTTTCCAGAACCCCGTCAAAGATGTCAAGAATGACAGCAGTAAAACAGATGATGGTCTCACCTCGCATTATCTCTGCTATCACACCTCCAGTCTGGCAGTTGTAACCTAACTCCTCTTGAATAGCAGCACCAATCTTGGGGTCCCCAACTCCCAAGAGTACCTTCTTCTTTTTGGACGGCAGGTGGGTCTCCAAGAGCAGGCGGAGGTCCTCATGAACAATACCTCAGAGCAAAGAACATAGTTCCCACTAAAATGCTGTAGGATGCTTAAATTGTAAGAGGATCCCATCCCCTCGGATGATTACACTTCTCCTGCAGAGCATGCTGGGATGGCATGCCGAGACCCCTCCCCTTCAGGCTTTGCTCAGAGACACGAAGACATCAGTGACTGCACTCAGTGGATTGACAGATTCGCAAGTCATCACTGCAAAGCCTGGCTCGACCACAAGAAGAACTGGACTCAAGTCCAATAGCACAAGCATCAACAACATAACTGAAAACCTGTAACATGCCCTCGAGTATTTAGTACTCGATTTACCTTCTGAGACCAAACCCTCTTTTCTTGGCCTATATTATAAAAATTACCCTTGCCAATCAATTGAAAGATACGACAGAGAACCAGACATTTGTTCGGGCAAACTAGGGCACAGGTGGGCATGTAAATGAGCTGCTCACCACCCTCCCCATCCCATTTCATTGAAGAATCACTTATCACTACAATACCCACAATTAAGTAAAATCTACATCCTGAATCGTGTGCTTTTAATTGCGGTAACATTGAGCCTACCATACTTCCCAGACCTTGAGCTCGTATAGTCTCAAATACCGCTCAGCACACATCAGTTTTAGAACTGGCCAAAGAAAGGCAAATACCATTACAAGCCCCGTAAGAGGATAACGGCAGGAACCCCATTTCGCTCAACTCCCTTAAATACTTGGCGGTGGCCGGACTCACCTTCGGACACTGCATTGGCATTTTCCAAGGCAACCTGGGATGATGCAAAGGGACAAAAGGCCACGAGACGAACGATGTTGTGGAACTTGCCCAGGTTGAGCACACACTCCTCCACCTGGGGGGAGAAAGAGAACGCGTGGTTTCCTTTCATGGCCCTTGCTCTGTGGCCCAGTCAAGCAGCGGTTCTCAGCCCTGGACCATTTTAAGATATACCGATGCCTAGGCCCCACAGTCCGGGTTCTGCTTTAGTCGGTAAAGGGCAGAGTCCGGGAAGCTTATTCTTAACTGTTCCTAGAG